GCGAAAATAAAACCGGCCAACCCTCTAACTCAGGTAAGCTAATCGACCTCCTAAGCTCTCGGTTTTATTTACATGCAAGGTTTTTTTATTTTCTTTTAATCTCTTGGGTTTTGAAAACTGTAAAAAAATGTACTTCAAAAATTTTAAATCTTCTCTTTTATTGTTTTTTGATCTGGAGGGTTTGAACCCTTTTTACATTTTTGGTTCGGGTATTTATAAGCCCGATTTATAGCTTTTGCTTATTTTCGGATGAAATTATTATAACTGAAACAAGTGAATATTACGTGCTTGGCTGGTTTTCGGTTGCTTGCTTTGATACACGTTTCTGAAACTGTAGGAGACTCGACGCGTGGTTGGTGGCAGCATTTGGTGGCCGATGGTTGACGCAGTAAGGAGGTGGCCTGGGATTGGTGAACGGCGACGGTTGCTGAGGCTCGATCTAGACGTTGGATGGGTCCAGATCGGACGATTGAAATGAGAGGCAGCGGCTTAATCTGGGTTACATATGGTCCGTTGGATATTTCCCAAATCCAACGGCTAGGAGCTGTTGGCGACTAGGGAGATGGGTAAAACCCTAAATTGGCTTGGGCTTCAAGATGGGAGCCGTGTTTTTGTCTTGATGGGTTGAGACTTGTATTTTGGGTTCCGGGTTTAATGTTATGTAATTGGGTCAAACTTGTTTTTGGACTTGACCTGCAAAAAAAATGTATTTAATAATAATAATAATAATAATAATAATAATAAAGATAGTAGGACAAAAAACGAGTGTCGACAGGTTTCATTTTGGTCATATGTCATTAAAAAAATTATCGGAGATGTTGACGTGTCATCGTAAGGTAATGCCACATCATAATTTAAAAAAAGTCACAATAGCAGTTCTGTTAATTTTTTAAGGGCAGATTACCAAAATGAAGCCAAAACGTAGCATTAGTGATGATTTTGAGAAAAAAATACTTTGATGACCAAAATTGAACAAAAGTGGTAATCAAGTGACTACATGCATAGTTTACCTATTATTATAATTAAAATAATTTTAGTAATAATAAATTTTAGAATGAGCAATTTTGTTTCTTTTCTAAGTTTTTTAAGGATTAGTCTAGAGCGAGTGACACGAATCGATGTACACCACAAATGATATGTACCGATATGCATTACTAATATAAAATATGGTAACATTCATAAATGGTGATTAAATTTATTAAAATAATTTAATTTGTCATTGGATTTTTAAAAGTTATAAAAAAGACATTAAACCTCATATTTTATTTAAAAATAGGCAACAAACGTGAAATATTGTTAAGAGGGTGACAATGTAACACCCATAACTCATATATATCTCGTATTACGAGGTAAAGATGTCACATCAACTTAACAGCCACTTACTGAATATAAATGCTTAAAATTTTGTTTCATTTAAAACAACCTTTTTTTTTTTACAAATTTAAAAGTTGTTTCCTTTAACAAGCATAGTCCTAATATTATACTTTATTGTTCCAAACAAAGTTGATTTTTATGCAACAATTAGGCAGTTCCATGTTATTTCATATTTATATTAAACTGCCTAATATTGCTTGATTTAAAACCATTTAAAACCCTCCATAATATTTATTCTTAAATACGGTTATAACTAAAATTAACTAAAATTTAAAGTAGTCATAAATTACTATTATAGACCCTTTTTAGAATAAACATGATAAAGCAACCCAACAGATATAATGTACATGTCATTAATAATTCAAAGTTAAGATGTCTTCTTATTCTATCGATAGGTTTGATTTCCATAAGATGCTTTCAACCTCCTCACTTCACGTCCTCTACTTTATTCGACCCTACGCATGAAAATTTTCACGCGCTAAGTAAAACTTAGTAAGACAAGTAAATAAATCAGAGTGAACTATATCGGTAGAATATCATAAATAATTCAAGACATAAAAATAAATGTAAATAAAATCTTTAAAATTTCAAACCGAACTTTCCAAGCCGTATTTTTCCTCGTCAGAAACCTGAAAATCATGGTCTCATAATTTTATCAAAATCACAATAATCAACATCAACAATAGTATACTTTGCATATACTTTCCATTCAGACATATTTCGGAACTTTAATATTTCGTATTCATATTCTTTTTTCTTTCAGTCACTTTCAGAACTTTCCTTATTTTCATTTTTGTAACCTAGTGTATATTTATGAGAATACAAGTTACGTTAGTGGAGTGCGCACTAGACACTTTAGTGTCAATCGTAACTTAAACGAGATTAAGATTAGGCATCTTTTATTCTAGTGTTTGGCCAAAATTAAACAAGACGTGTATGTGTGGCGTAAACAGTGTGTTTAGTGTTGTTGGAAAAGAGGATTCGCCGTGTAGACAATAACTAGTGCCTACGTCGTTTGACAAAGCTCTACCACTAAGCTTATTTCATAAAAGAAAAAAGTAGCAGCAGGAGTGAAGAACAGAACATTTCATGTGAATCTATCAAGTGGCTTCCTTAACCAAGAGGAATATTGGATTTATTAAAGGTTTCGAATTCGAGCAGTTATATGTACATAATATATGTGCATTGACAATAATTAAAAAAAATATTGAATATATATTGTATGCGTGGCCGCAAACAAGATGTTAACAAAAGCTTGCACCAGTTGCGGCTGCAATTTAATTCTGATGAACTTACCTTCAACTTTCCTGATGGAATACAGGATTTTGCCGTTTCTTCAATAAGATTATGATACTTGTCGTCTTATTACAGGGTTGAATTTATTTAATTAATTTAAATTAAATGATGATCAAATTTATAAGTTTTTTAAAACATTTATTGAATTATTTAAAATTAGGGTCAAATTGGTAGAATGTATAAGTTATGGAGACTATAATTGTCATTATACCTACCTACATTATCAACTCTGTTAAATTTTAGCGGAAACTTAGCGGAAGACGACTAAATAGAAGAAAAAAAAGACATTGGTGATGATTTGTTAAAAAGTTTTTATGATCAAAGTAGAAAAAGGGTAAGGATCAATGAAATAATTTATTCAGTGGCTAATTCAACAAAAAATTTATAGGCAGGACCAATATAAATATTATAAAATTTTTATCTAATAAAATTTGTATATATTTAGATTAAATCTAGAAGAAATATATTAATTGGAACAATATAATTTTTTAACATAATTCATACATATTTTTTATTTAGGTTATACTAACTATTTAGCCACCCACCTATTATTTAATTTATATTTTGGTTACTCAACTATTTTTTTAAATCATACACTACCTTTCATTTTGGTTCTGCTTCGACCACTCACCGTTAAAAAAATAACAATATGATAATATGATGTTTTTTAAATTATTGTTCAATCTTGAAGTGACATTATCTGATGATGACACGTCAACATTGCTGCTAATTTTTTAAAGACGAGTGACTAAAACACAACCAAAATGTAACATTAAGCGTGATTTAAAATAAATAATAGTTGAATGATCAAAATAAAAATTAAACAATAAGTGAATGACTAAATAAGTAATTTACCTATTTTTATATTGGATGGGCCATAACCTAAGTAGGCCTAGGCCTAAATAGTCCCATGAGTTTACCCTTTACATTTGGTGCGACATCTATATATATATAATTTTATGAGAAAAGATCCAATAATATAATTACATCAATTTAGTATCGTTGAATTAAACTAAATTAATTACTAGAATACGCAGTTAAAAATAGAAAGATTTTTATGAATAAAATAAAAGGAAATGAATAATGAAATTGTGATAAACTTTATTTTCGATTATCCTTTTATATTTATTTAATGACTATGTATTTATATAAATTAATAAATCTAACTATTATTTTGTAGTAATATGATGTTTTATATTAAAAGTTATTTATTTTTCCTCAGAAAATATATGAATGGGTTGTAGGTCGGGCTCAAATATTGCTTTGGTAGTTCAGGGCTTAGGACGAGCCCGGCCATAAGATTTTAATTATATTGCAGCAGATCCCTGCAAATCCATCCCTCTCGAATCTTGAATTTGTATATATATTTTGATATAAAAAAGTGATGTTTAAAATAGAAAATTGAGTATTTTATTTTTTAATGAAACGATGGTTAGATAAAATGTTAATCTAAAAATATATTAATAAAAATAAATAAATAATATTATTGAATTGAACGAAGAAAAATAAATAAAGAATTAAAATTAAAGAATAAAATTGATTAATCGTACGTTGACATGAAATCAAATGAGTAGAAGTAGAATTTTGTTGGGGCATGTATGAACAGTTTCTTTAAGACAAATTTGTCATCTCATCGGTGCTTTGAGTAATGTTGGATGTCGATCTCTCAGGATACAATAACAAACAATCACAACAGTAGACACGACTGCAAAGATCAGTTGAACATAATCTTACATTTCTCTATCATCGGGAAGAATTAATTTGAAAGAATTTTTTAGGTGTTTTACTATTTTAAAATTCTAAAGTTGTAAGTTGTACTAATTACTTCTCAACTAACCTTTTAATAAATAGTATAATTCTTACTTTTTTTTTTAAGTTGCAAGTTGTAAGAATAAAATTGAAGGAATTTTTTTAGCATTGTGTTGATCCTTTCTTTTAATGTTTAATTCTTACCTACTTCATTGTTATCATAAAAATATATACATATCTGCTATACATTAAAAGCTTGTATAATATATATATAATCAGAAAATATATGTTTATATGTATGTGACATGAGTATTTTTTCTAATAGTTTGGATTGATTATATAAAATATATATTTATTTATACTTTATAAATGTAATTGTTCAAACTCAAATATTCTAAAAATATATATTATCTTCTACGACTGAAACAATATATATAATCACATTCCCTTTCATTTCTAACCTTAACATTATGAAATATATATCATCATATATATAATGAGTAGTCATAATCATAATCACAAGCGCATGCAGTCCAAATGCAATTTCAAACGTTACAAATACAATACAAACAGTGCAACTAATTCATTATTACAAGGCACCTATTGGTGAGATGTTTATGTTTTATTATCAAGGCAAGTACTTGCGAAAGAGGTTCTCAAACTTGCTCATTTCCTTGCTGGGTAGCGACACCAAGACATTGACACCATTGTTGTCATCAATATCAGGGAATAACAATATAATGTCCTTCCTTTGGAACACCACAGGGCAACTATACCTTGGCCTCCCCCATGGATAATCCACCTCGTCAAACCCTAGTTTCCACCATGAAGACACCAGAAACTCCCCGTCCGGGAAACCTTGGTAAATCTCCCCCCAGTCTATCGCTGACCTCGCGTACTCGTCCGTCATTCGGTTCGCACCCTCTGTCACCAGCTCTACCAATTTTGCAAACGGGGCTTCTTCTATATCCTTGCACTTGGCCCTCGCGTAAGCGGTTAACACCGCATTCCCGGTGTACGATCTCGGCAATGGTGGGATTAGCCTAGGTCTTATGTTAACAGCGTATAGCAACGTGGAAACCCTACCAGGGTCCGGTTTGTCCCATGATAAGGCTTTGCAATGCCATATAAGCGCCGTCACCACATTGAACCCGGTGATCCTTGCGTCGCCGTGTGCTCCGCCAGAGGGTTTGGCCTTCTCCTTTAAGTTGGTTATGTCATCGGAGGTGAGCCGGAAAACTTTGAAGTCTAGAGCTTCGGAAGAGGGATCAATGACGGGAGGGTTTGAGTCATGGAACTTGGCCAACTCGAGGTGGGGAAAGCTGACACACGGCGGAGATCGAGCGGCGAGGAGTTGGCGGTCATTGCATGGGGTCACAGCGAGGGGTTTGCCGGCAGCCAAGGCAGCCAGGTTGTCTAAGAAGATTTTGAAGCTTAATCCATCAAAAGTCACATGGCTAGTAATTAGGCCCATTGCAAAGCCACCACATTTAAATGATGTCACCTGTCAAGGGAAACTGATTGTTAGGGGTGCACATTCCCATATCATATATTATTTTATCTGAAAGATATCTAAAACTTTAAATCATTAAAATTATAAATTTACATTCGATTTTTAAAAAAAATCAGATTATTAAAATTTTAAATTGATACGAGAATCCAAAACTAAAATTTAATTTTACAAAATTTTAAATCAGATTATTATTATATTGTATTGTATTGCATTGTCACACACAATAAACAATTAAAAATTTTATTTTCTCGGCTAGAGTTTTAGTAGGTTATTCACATATTAGGCTACAGATGGCTAAACTCTAAACGTTCAATTTTTATTGGATTTTTAAATAATCTGAAATTAAAATCTAGTAGATATCTATCTGACCCAATTTTTCTTTTCTTGAATATCCGATTTAAATTATTATAAAATTTAAAAATAAATTATATATTCAAAATTTTAGATTGAATCAATGTATTAACCGATCATATCGATCTAATTCAAAACAATTCACATTTCTATTGTTTGTTAGTCTGTACGGTCCATTTTATTAATATTTCAAATATATATGTATATTACTATCCCTATTTTAATTGTTTTATTAGATTAAAATTATTTTTAATTAGAATTATAATCATAACAAAAGGAGATGAGAATGACGATTAATGTAAATTATAGGTGACCGTGTTTATAGTTGGAAACTTTAATTAATACTTGAAATGGAATATGCAAAGGATGTGGTATGCAGCCGATAAGAGCAGTATACTTTATTACTTAGGTTTACACCATAAATAATTAATGTGGACCATTTGTATGAATGTAATGGACCCATTCTTTTAAATACTCATTTAAAATTAAAATAAAAAAATAATATGACCTCTTTTTTAAAAAAATTAAAAGTAAAATAATGAAATTAAACCTAAAAAAATAAAATTAAGTAATATATAAACATTATATATCGATCAACTCCTCGATTATCATGTGAACAATCATTTTTAATAATTGCATCAGAAAAATCACTTTTAATAATTAATAAAATTAAAATATATAAATATTTTAAAAAGTATAATTAAGAAAATAAATAAAAAGAGGTTTTGTTACCTGGACAATACAAAGTGGTTGATTCTCTTGCTCCAAGCAATCCACGCTCTTACAAACCAGTTGGCCAAATGCTGGATTAGGGTAAACCAAGTCTCCGATATCGTCCAACGCGTAATCACTTGAAGCCACCGCGAAACCGATTCCGGCCGAGTTACAGTCGATCTCTAGTCGACCCGTCTCGGGGTTCGACCTCAACCTTCCGGCCAGGAAGTCGTATGGCACGAGTAACTCGGACAACGTGCGTTTCAGCATGTCGGCCACCGCGTGGGGCGGGAGGTCACTGTGGGAGGGGAAGAAATGGACGGTTTCGACTGGGAAATTGAGCACTCTGTCTATGTTTGATAAGAACATGGATTTTCTGTGGGATTTTTCGGGTGGAAATACAAGGGAAACGTCTTTGACAGTGATGTTGAGGTCTTGGATAAGTGTTGGAGGATCGTTGAAGATGGTGCACATTGCTTACCTTTCTTTTCTTTTTTGGGTGTTTTAGAACAAATCTGTGCTTATTTTTTGACTATGCTGTGTGTTTGAAGAAATGCATTGCTATATAATATATGTGAATCTACCCTGATATATAGCGAGAGACGTTTATTGTCCGGGAGAAACTACGTATTAGTCACCCACCTATTCTAGTGGTTCTATTTTGATCACACATTTATTTTATTTTTCAAAATCATACTTAATGTTACGTTTTGATTTCATTTTAGTCACTCTCTGTTAAAAAATAAACATAATTGTTGATGTGATAAATTTTTTTAAGGAAAAATTCAATGATGGCGTGGCATGACCTTATGGTGACACACCAATATCACTGTTAATTTTTTAACGATGGGTGATAAAAATAGTCAGGTGACCAAAATGAAATTGCAAGAATGTGTGGGTAGCTAAATACGTAGTATACCCTATTGTTTATTGTATATATAAATAGGGTTAAATACACGATTGGCTCCTAAAGTTGTTTATTTTTCTCATTTTAGTACTTCAACTTTTTTTAATCTTTTTCATATCTAAAGTAATAAATTGTTACCGCCATTAGTCCATAGTATTTAACCCTATTTATATACAATAAACAATTTTTAAATATGTATTTGTTGTATACAATTTATGCAACATAAAAATTTATGAAAACAACAACGGTAACAATTTTCAACAATATATAAACTCAAGATGAAATGAACTGATAAAAATACTTCAGATAACATAAACAATTATTTTCAAGACAAAATTCCAATAAAAATGCAATCAAATTCAAAAGATAGAACAAAATTCTGAAAATTTTCAATTTTAAAAGTCTAAAAATTTCATAAATGTATAAATATAATAAACATTATGTGAAGAACATTGAAGAGTATGGATAAGGGAAAGCATAAAACTATAAAATAATCATCTAATTTCATGGGGGACAACTACATGATTATTAGAGGGTCAACAAACACAATCAATTATGAAACCAATACCTATGCCAAAAATTGATTGCTACAATATCTGTTTTTGTACATCCACCCCTCTATTTGTGTCTCTCTATTTCTCCACCTTTTTTTTCTTTTTCTTTTTTGAGGTCTTTGACAACCAATAATTTCCTTTTAAATTCATCTAATAAATCAAACCCTCTAACCCTTAATTTAATATAATTTAGTCCATATTAATAATGTAAATAACCTATCCTCATTTTAACCCATGATACTTCTCTCTTAAATATTTGAGTTGTACACTAACATGTTATGCAATACATCTGTCAATGGAATTAAATTTATAATGAAAATTGATTGAATACATAATATAATATATAAAATTTGATTTTGTATAGATGTATATATTTATATATGGGATATAATTTAATTATACAATATAAATTTCTTTCAGTTTTACATAGATTTAGGATCGTTAGATGAGTGAAAATAAATGGATGAGATTAACATAAAGGAATTAGAAGATATTCACTAGGGAAAAAGTTAAGGAGTTTACTTAAGTCATCTATTCTCTATCATCCAACAATCCTAAATTTATGTAAAACTAAAAAGGTTTTATATCGTATAAAATTTAGACTCATCTCAAAGAATGATAACTTTTTACAGCTGTTGGAGTAAAATTAAGAGGGCGGTTGGATTTGATGTCATGTGAGTCACCTCTTTCATTGCAATGGTAGATTAATTTTGTAGCAATTTGAGGAAAAGAAGTAGCTGGGGCACTAAAACGAGGGAAAGTGAAAAGTAAGGACTATAAAACAAAAGTCACTGAGTTAGTTGTGCAAAAGATATATATGGCAAAGTTGTGTGTGTTAGCTATACAAACTTATAATCTTAAGGAAAATTAGACTTACATTCTTAACAAAGACAAAATTTCTTTAATATTTTGGGTTCAAACATTGTGTATACGTGAGAGTACAAGTATTCATTATCAAAGATTTATGAATTTTTAAACATATACTATTTTATATCCACTTTGTATTAATAAAAAAAATAAAAGTAAAAAGAGCTTTAATTGCTAATTGAAATAACGAATGAGTCCCTCCTCTTCTACAACGAACCAAATTCATACACAACCGAAAACTTTTAATGCTTTTAGACAGACAGTTTCAGTGTATCATGTTTTCCGCTTCACATTTATTGTTCTTTGTATGTATTTGATATTATGGTAATTGAGAGAATCGGTTCGAGTGGTCCTTGGAAATTCAAACACATTAGACGACCATGTTATAATAGACCTAATCCAAATGTTAATACGAGAAGTAAGGATTCATGATGTGATATCGGAGCAGAAAGTTTATCAATTGAGCTTAACAACAATAACCACCAAACAACTTCTGTTAGTACTAAACCTCCTGAGCAACTACCATGACAAATTTAAACCTTTGACTTTTTAACATTCATTATACTTTCTAACTCTTCGGTGAAAAAATTAGACACTATACAAAGATACCAAATTAAGACTTTGACGCAACTCCTGGAAACGAGCTGAGCCTGAGATCAGTGGTTTTGTGAAGACATTCACAACAGCTAACTAACTATTTTTTCCCAAACAAAATGCACATCTAAGTCTACATGTTTAATTTTGACATGTAGAACTACGTTGGCTGTCATGGTAACAGTGCTGGTGTTGTCACAACATATAATTGATGCCTAAGATAAGGTCACACCCATGTCTGCTAGAATTGCCTTAACCTAAAGTACTTCTGACGTCGCATCAGTTAAACTCTGATATTCAACCTCAGTTGTGCATCTATAAACAGACTGTTACTTCCTAAGGCTTCATGACAACAAGTGCTGCCCTATAAAAGACAGTATCTTAAAATAAAGCATTGATCATCTCGATCACGTCCCTAATCTGCATCCGTGAATGCCTTAGTTGGAGTTGTCCTTACTGAGGTGCTTTGATACCATATTGAAAAACATAAAATCATTTAACTAACCCATATAAATAAGAGTGAACAAGAACAATCAAAATGAGGGTAGAGTAAGATGAGAGAGATGCATGCACTCCATTTTGAACCAGATTCAACGTTACCGGCTATAGCTATTAGTAGATTTAAAGTTAAGCGAGAATAGAAAGATAAGCATGTAGGCTTTAAGATGATTTGACTCCGTCAATCAAATGACCTTTATATAGCCCCTATTTGATTCAGTGGATCAGCACTGAAAGTTTGACCCAAAGCGGATCAACCGGACTTAACAACAATAACGGATTTTCTCTTTTTTCCCATCTTTCATTATTTTCTCTCAACCTAATCAATCTTAATTCAGAAAAATCCACCAAATCACTCAAGATTTATCCTTTTTAGAATTTCCCATTTTAAATCTCAACAATTTATGTTTCTAAATTCATGTTTTAATCCAATTCTTCAAATTCCTAGTTTTAATCTTCAAAGGCAATCTCATTTTTTCTAACTATTTTCTAATTCATTTCAACATTTAGAATGGGTTTGTAAGTTCTAAATCAACATGTCATATTTTTAAATCTAAACTTTCATGAAACTAGAGCCCCAATGGTGTTTTTTAGAAAAAAGAATAGTAGAATTATTGATTTTAAGATGATTTTGACTTGTATTTATGTTAGAAAAGATTTTTATATGTTTAAATTTGTGTAATTTAGATTTGCATAAGTCAAGGTCTTTCTAATATAGAAAAGCTTATTTTCTTTAGTTTTTGAAAGTTCAAGATTTAACCTTTTGACTAGTGATGTTAGAATCATTTTTCATAGGTATTGCATGATGGTTTAAATATTTAAAACGAAGATAGATCACAAGTATTTGGAAATTGAATTCTTGATTATATAGTTAAATTTCAGTTATTAGAGAAATAGAGAAAAAAAAAGTTTAAAATACAAGGTACTCTGTTTTAATGATGATAAACATGTGCTAATGATGATGTTTAACCTTGTTTACAAGAATCGAAGGTGGCCAGAGCTCATACAGCGAAAGGTAGAAGAAATGACATTCTCGATTAGGCGACAATAAATGCGATAAGTTTTGATTTATGACTAAAAACATTTACGTTAGAGGGTGAAATTATAAAATTACAGGGATAAAAACATATTATCAAATTTTATATATAAAAGAAAAAGTTTTAAATATATAATAATTCAATTTTTTTAAAGGGACAACGGCACCAAACCGTCTTCTTGAACAATCCCTGAATAAGATAAGATGTACATTGATTGTGTTTTACATGCCCTATGCAATACGATGTGATACATTTATAAGATATGTTTTATAAGATGTGTAAGATATGGAACACGAAAATGTTCACAAATATAAGATATGGCATATGAGATGTACATTAGAATATGATATGGAATATGAGTTGTATATGAGAATAATATTACTATGATATATGATGAATGAAAAACATGGAATGTGGTTATGTCAAAAAGAGAGAGAGAGAGAGAATGAAATGTGATTTATGATAATGTGTAATGTGTAAATTTACTGATTTTATACACATAATTGTATATGACACAATACTAGCTCTTTGAGCTTTATAATGGCACATGCAAGTGAAATAAAGTGTGAATATGACATGCACTTGAAAGTTTAAAAGAAAGTGAACGTGAAATATATGTGACATGAACATGATAGTAATGTGAGAATGGTAAATACGAACAAAGATTCCTACATAAAATGGTAAATAGATATAAGAAATTGGATATATTAACGTTGTGGTCCTCTTAAAATTATTGAATATAAATGACACGTCATGAGATTTGATTACTCATACATGTTTATTGTATTTAGACGTCAAAACCTTGGGCTATGACGGAGAGAAAAAAGAATAATGAGCTAATGCTACATTCATGGGACATGTTTGATGTTTTGGAGATTGTTAGTATCATGCGACACTTTGATAGAGACATGGTCGACTCTTCGAGTCAATAGTAAGGCAATATAAAGAGATTCTTTTATCTAATATATGTGTGTATTTCATAAGTAACAAGAAGCCAATATATTAAGAACGAAAAACTTGATTTATATTGAAGTG